GGGTGCACCCAGCCTGTCGCCTCCTGCCCCGTACCCCCGAGTGCCTCCCCAGACCATGCCACTGGCCACGACCAGCCTGCGCTCTGGGTACTGTGCAGCCCTAGGCCGACGCGTTGTGGGGTCCTGGAGCCTGGTTACCTGAGCCAGCGCCTCCCCACTCGCCCCAGCCCCGAGCCGTCTGTGTGGGACAGGGCAGCCCTGGCCGGGAACACTCAGCCGGACGGTCACATTCATTGCCCCTTTAAGGCGTTGCTAGTCAACAGTTTGTTCCTTTAACCGTTGTTCCCAGGCTGGGCTGTTCACACGTCGCCCTGGGCTGGGGCAGAGTGAAACCAACGCCTGGGGGAGTAACAAGCAGAGCCAGGAGTTTGCGTGAATTCCCGGCTCAGACACACGCAGCGAAATGGCTTGACCTAGCAAGTCTGGGGCCCGGGCTTTGCTCATGGCGGCCGTTACCCCCCGGCTCCCGTCCCCCCGGCGCCCGTCCCCTCAACACCCGTCCCCTCGGCCCTGCGCCCGTCCCCTCTACGCCCATCCCCCCGGCGCCCATCCCCTCGGCTCGACGCCCATCCCTCCAGCGCCCGTCCCCTCGGCCCGGCTCTCGCCCAAAGACCCTGGGGCCTTTGGCTCCATAGGTGAAAGGGGTTCTCGGCCCCTGTCTTTTATAGTCCTGTGAGCTGCTGTTATCTTCCCCAGGGTCCCCGCGAAAGACAGTTGCGTCGAGCTGTGACAAAGGCAACGGAAAGGCGGCTCTGGGCTCTTCAAATCAAATTGCTCCGTCTCCTGCCAGCGCCTCCCCGGCCGCCTTGAGGCCCCTGTTTAACCCCCCCGCCCTGCCCGTGTTTAGGCCAGGCCTGTTCGATGCCATTGGCCGGGGCAGCACTGCCGGGTTTTTGAGCAGATGCTAATAGCGTCGTACAGGGAGCTGCTGAATTCCACCTATAATACAGCCACGGCCATTTCAGCATCTGGGCAGCGACCGCCGGGGTTGTTAGTTTTCAAACGAGCCCTCACAAGGCAGGTTGTGTGCGAAGACTATTGCAATAGTGTGTAGGGGTCAACTGGGGGGCGAGGGGTTCGGTCACTCGCATAATAACGTGACTCCAGGAGCTGGGGCTTTAGGAAAGCCAGGAAATAGTGCAAGACTTGATGTACAGGCAGTCAAGCGGGTGGCACTGCATCCCCTGCCACAGCTGAGGTCAAACCCAGGAGTCCTGGCGCCCAGCCCACTGCTAATAGCCAGCACTTTAGGGAACTGCTCTGTTCGTTCAGTGCTGGTAAAACCCAGCGGCTCCAGCTAACGCTAGGCCCAGGGAGGGCAGCCAGTGTCCAGGTGGAGGGCTAGGACAGTCCATGAATGGCACGAGGGCACCCCCTAGTGGTAGGAGCCAGGGTAGCCCTGCTTTCCCCCCCTGGGCAGCTAGCCAGTGACCCTGGCAGGGGAGCGGGGTCTAGTGGTTAGAGCAGGGGAGGGCTGAGAGTCAGGACTCACGGGCTCTATTCCTAGTGCGGGCGGGATCTACTGGTTAGAGCAGTGTGATCTTGAAGCAATTGCTAGACCACTCTAGCAGGGGATTGGTCCTGCTTTAAGCAGGGGGTTGGACTAGATGACCTCCTGAGGTCCCTTCCAACCCTGATAGTCTATGATTCACTCTGTGCCTCTGTTTCCCCCACCAGCAATGAGGCTGAGCCCAATGACCCCCCCTCCCCCTTCAGTCACTTCAGGTGATTTGTGAGCCCCAGCGGCTTTCAGTGGCACATAGGCCGTTTTCACCCAGGCGCTGCCCCCCCCCCCCGGTGGGTGGGCTCTGCCACGTGGGGGGCCAGGCACGGGGTACAGCTGAGGTGTTCGCAGCCCCCCTGCAGGCTATAAAAACACCAGGGCCCGGGGGGAGGCCGCCAGGCTTCGGCTGCCAGAGCAGGGGCTGCTTCTGGGCGGGTGGGGCTTTAGCCCCGTGGGGCTGGGACTCGGGGTTCGGGGCTGAGACTCGGGGTGGGGGTGGGGTTCGGGGCTTTAGCCCCGTGGGGCTGGGGGCTTCTGCCTCACGGGGCTCAGGGCTGGGCGCTCCAGGCTTCCGGCTTCAGCCCCGCAGGGCAAAGGGACTTGGGGTTCTGGGCCCCGTGGACCCCGGAAACCAGTTTGCAGGGGCCCCCCCCGGGTGCTGTGGCCCCTTGGTTGAGACCCAGAGGCATAGATGAGGGGAGCGCAGAGGGATCGGGAACAAATGCTGGCTCCCTTGCGTGCTAGTTTGGGGTGGGAGGATCGGGGTGGGGCAGAGTCGGCTCTCTGGGGCGCTAGGTCGGCGCAGAGGGGGTGGGAGAATCGGGGGGAGGGCAGAGCCGGCTCTCTGGGTCGCTCGGTCGGCGCGGAGGGGGTGGGAGGATCGGGGGGCCAGAATTGGCTCTTCCGCAACACCCTGGATGAGGAGCCAGCCCCACCCTCCATGGGCCCCATCCCACAGCGACACAGCACGGCCCAGCCCCCCTGGATTGGTTGGGGGTCCCGTGTGGACTCCCCAGCCCCCTGCTGCAGCTCTCTCTCTCTACACACCCTGGCTGTCCCTGTAGCGTCCTGGCCCTCCCCGCCCCATCTGTCTCTGCAGGCCCTGCAGGCCGGCCAGCTTCCCCCTGCCGGACCCCCTGCTGGAAGTGCACCTGGTCCTGGCCCCCCTGTCAGGCCCCAGGTCCGCTCCACAGCCTTGCAGGCCCGGGCGGCCAATGGGTAAGCAGGGCCCTGAGGGTTTGACAGTGGCACTCACCGTTGTCATTAGAGTTCAGAGTGAACAGCCCCATCGGACTGGCTGGCTGCCACCTCCCTCGTGGGGCTGCTGTTGCAGGCTATCTGCAGACTCAGGCAGCAGTTTCTGTGGGGAAGCCTAAGGGTGGGAGAGCTGGGATACTGGGCTGGCCACGGGGGGGCGGGGTAAAGATCCCAGCTCCAGAGGCAGGATTTGACTCTGGCCCCAGCCTTCTCCCCACAGGGCCTTTCCCCCAACTACCGCTGCTGACGACTTCACGGGTGATGGCATTGATTGCCATGGAGACCACATGTGAGGAGGGGCCAGGGCTGCCCTCCAGCCCCACCTCTCCCCAGAGACGCCCCCATTCGGGCACTGCCCAGGAGTCAGAGAGCAGCGACCTGGAGGGGGCTGTGCCAGGAACCCCCCCCCCCGCAGAAAAAGGTATGTGGTGGTGATGGGGGTGGGGCAGAGGCGTTGGGGCTATTCTGTGGTGGGGGCTGTGTGGTGGGGGCTGTCTTGGAGCCTGGGGGGAATGGGACCATGTGGGTGGAGGGGGAAGCTGGGGAGTTCCCCCCTCCTCCCACGTCTCTCTCCGTTCCGCGCTGGCATAAGGAATACATCACCTGCAATAACCCCGAGTGGGGGTCAAAGGTTAACGGGAAGATAGGCGGGTATGTTGGTCAAATGATGGCTCTGTTCGGGTGCGGCGTATAATGAGTGGATACGATGCTGAGGATGGATTGACCCTCATTTGGGGAGATTTAACGTTCAGGGAGTTTCTGGTTCCAGTTCATAGGGTCCCACGGACGAAGTCTCTCGGTCCCTTTCTCGTCGTCGATGCGCGATGGCGCTCCGGCTCACGCCTCCTGGTACCGTCGGTGTTCGGGGGAGCTGTCCCTGGACCATCGGCTGGTGTCTGAGACCAGGAGGCGCCGCACGAGCCGTGCGTAGCGTCGACCGATCCCGCAGGGCCGCAGCACACGCTTGTTGCAGGGGTCCCGGGCGCCCAGGGCGTCCGTCTGCACCGCGGAGCCCTTCGCTCTCCGGCGGTCGGCCAGGGGGGCGTCCTTCCCAGCGTCCGAGCTCGGGCTTCGCGAAAGGCGACCGAGACGGCGACGAGGACGCGCTTTTCCTGGGCCTCGTGGGTGACGCCGCCGGCGGGTCACAGCTGGCTGTTGGTGCCGGGGATGGCGCAGCTCACGGTGACCCCCCCCAGGCGCGGGGCGATGGCTTTCACCAGGGAGTGCAGGACGGCGCTGGGTCCTAAACCAGGCTGCTGCCTGCACTGCTGCTGGGGCTGGAGGAGAAGCTCAGCTCCCCCCTCTTCCCCCCCGGGCAGAAAACCCCCCCAGGATCCTAGGAACCAGCAAATCTGCAGCTGCCAGCGCTCAGGGCTCCGACCTCGGCCGAGGGAAGCTGCAGAGCCGGGGGCTGGGTCCTGGTACCACATTGGGGACAGGAAGAGCAGGGCCATGCTTCCCCCCCCCCGCCCCATTGAAAGGGCTGTGAGACCCCCTCCCAGGCAGTTGAGTTCACCCCCGAGATCCCCACATTGCCAGTCTGGGCTCAGCCGCCTCTGACACCCTCAACACCCGCTTCCGGGCACGGGCCCCTTGGCTCCTGGAGCCACCTGTGGCCCCTGCTCTCCTCCATTGCACCCAGAAGATAGATCCCAGCATAGCTCATGGCCCCACCATAACCGCCCCCCAGCCGCAGTGGAGGAGCAGCACCGCTCTCCCCAGAAGTGGCTGCACATCAGCACCCCGCCCCTGGGTGGGTCAGGAGGTGCTGGGGGCTGGAAGGCACGAGCCCAGGGCTAGGCCCCCCCATGGCATTGGCTGCGGCAGGCAGGGGCTGAGGGGAGAGACCATTCTCCACTCCCAGGGGCATTAAAGCCTCAGCCTGGGGCAGGACGGGGTATTCCCTGCAGAGCCCCCCAGAGAATCCCTGCCCCCCCCCCCGCCCCGCCACGGGTAAGAGTTTCTGGTAAATGTTTATTCAAGAAGAAATCGTCTCAGCGTTGGGGGGGGAGGGGCTCAGCTGGCAAAATAGACTTGATCCAAAAAGATTAAACACACTCCCCCCAAATCAAGAGCCCTCCCTGGCCCCCTCTCCTCGGAGCAGGACTTTCGCCATCAAACTCCAGGAGTTTAAAAATAATAATTCAGCTCTCCCCCAGGCAGGCAGGCACTGAGAGAGCCGGGAGCAGGGCAGTGAGGGGGGGCCCAGTCCATGGGGCAGGGCAGGGGGAGCAGCCGGCTACTTCTTGGCCTTGGCCGCGTTGCGCGGGGGGGTGACAGGGCGCCCACCGGGGTTCACGCCACTGAACTGCCCGTACTTGCCCTTGGTCTTGTCAGCCGGTTTCAGGATCTGCAGGAGGAGAGGCAGGTTGGATGCAGGGAAGGGGGGCCCAGCCCCCCAAGCCAGGGCCCATGCCAGCCCCCACAGCCCAGGGGACGTACCCCACACACCCCTCAGCCCCACAGAGCCCAGACTTGGGGTCCCCACAGCTCCTCGAAGGCCCAGACCCTTCCTCACCGGGGCTGTTACAAGGGAGGTTGTACTCTGCAGGAGGTTTCTTCCCCCTCTCACCGTTACCCCAGCCGAGGTCTGACACCCCCCCCAGCCCCTCCCCCCCCCCCCCGCCCCGACAGGGAGCTGCCCCATGGTGCTGGCGCCACACGCCCCCTGCCCTACCCCGGGCTCACCTGGAAGGAGCACATGAGCGTCTCGTCCACACTCATCATGGCGCCCGCGTTGTCAAACTCGCCGCAGTAGTTGGGGGCTGAGAAGAGCGTCACCAGCTGGCGCTTGGCAAAGAACTCGTAACCATCCTCCACCACCTGGGGCAAGGAGCCAGGAGGGAGTGTCGGGCCCTGCCCACCCCAGGCACCCCACTCCCTGCCTCCCAAACTGGCACAGCCGGGCCCCACAGACTAACCCCTCTCTGTCACCCACACGGGACGCAGGGGCCAGGAACAGACTGATCCAAACAATGCAAAGCACCTCCAGCCAGCCAGTTCCAGTACCCCAGCCAGGGGAACCCCCGCCCGCAGCGCACCCCACACAGCTCTGCCGATCCCCTGCCCCCTCCACCCACTCTGCCGATGCTCTTCCATGACGACCCCCAGCCAGGGCCACCCAGAGGATTCAGGGGGCCTGGGGCAAAGCAATTTCGGGGGCCCCTTACATAAAAAAAAGTTGCAATACTATAGAATACTATATTCTCGTGGGGGCCCCTGTGGGGCCCGGGGCCTGGGGCAAATTGCCCCCCTTGCCCCCCCCCGGGCAGCCCTGCCCCCAGCCCCCCAGCTCTCCCAGCCCTTCTGATGCCCCTCAATCCCACCCAACAGCACCCCCCCTCCCGGCTGGTACCTGGTGTGCCCGACAGATAAAGTCCAGGTCGTGTTTGTGCAGGAACTTGGCGACCACGTCAGAGCCGAAGGTGAAGGAGACGCCGCGATCGTTCTCGCCCCAGCCCTGGACATCCTTGTCGGGGTCGGACCAGAGGAGGTCGCATAGCAGGCCCTGATCCGGCACGTCTGTGGGGCGCATGATCCGGCGGATCTGCTCCATTGACTGCAGGTCTGGCGAGAGCCCTGAGAGGAGGGGGGAAATTAGTCTGTTAGACTCCGCCCCCTCATAGGAGCTCCACCCACTGCAGTAGCATATTAATAGGGCCCTTTTGTTTTCAGTTTTTATTTTATTTAATTTTCCCCAGGAATTTATCAGTGTTTATTACCACAACAACAAAACCAGGTGGAAAAAATCGGTGCAAAAACCTTCATTTTTCTGGGTAAATATGGGGTTTATTTTGGTGGACGGAAGGATGAGGGGAAGTATTCAGTAGATTAATGCCGTGAATTCCATTCGTCAATGTGGTTTGATCTCTAACCCCCAAATAAAACTTTTCATTTGAATGAACAGTTCCCTGGTGTAGCCTTGGAACTCTCCGCCTATAAATAGTGACCGTTAATAACTGGGCCGCACCACTTGAGGCGCGACCACTCAGCTTCGTCCTGTTCTCCTGTTTGGGTTTCTGAAAACTTTGGACTACGTCCTTGTGTTCTGAACCGCGTTCGGATACAGATTTCATTTGCTTCCCATTTCAGTGCGTCCGATCTCTGAACCGTTATCTGCTACCGGCTTGAACCGGGTACGTGGCGCGCATGAGATTCAGCCGTCCGTTCGGATGCGCAGGCACTTCAGCGCTCGCGTGCGGCCTGTTTGTTTCTTGTGTGTCTCTTCTAGACCAATACATATACACGCGGACGAATGTCTTATCGTGAGACTTAGAGCTCATGCAATGCTTTGTTTTTTCCTAATCAAACACGTTTTTTATATATATTTGAATGATACAAAAGCAGAGTGAAAATCAGAAAAAACGGACTCACACTTTTTGTAAAACCTGGAGATTTTTTGGTAAAGATCAGTTTAAACTGAAAATGAAGGGGCTTACATTTTAATTATCCCACCATACACAGCTCATATAGCAACTCCCTGCTCCCCTAATATCTGCCTTGCAGCCCCCCCATCCCAGATGTGCCCCCCACAGCCCCCCCAGCATCCATTAGCCCTGCCCCAGCCTAGCACCCTCCGCCTTCCCCAGCAGCGCCCTCAACTGGACGCAGCCCAGACTGGAATTCCTGAAACACCCCCCTATGGTGGCTCCGTCCCTGCCGGGGACAGGGGCATGGGGCACTGCCCCCCCACACCCTGCGGCCCCTCCCACACCTCCATGGCAGCAGAAGATCTTCTCGTCCACAATAGCGGCGACGGGCAGGCAGTTGAAGCAGTCGGTGAACGTCTTCCACAGCTTGATGTTGTAACGCCGCTTGCCTGTGGGGGACAACGGGGGGATGGGGGCCCAGCCACTGAGGGAGACAGGGGAGCGGGGCCCCCCCCAGGCTGGGCCCTGGCCTGCTGGGAGAGACCCGGCCATGCAGGGAGCCAAGTGAACTGTGCAGCCACAGCACACGGGGCCTTAGAATCATAGAATATCAGGGTTGGAAGGGACCTCAGGAGGTATCTAGTCCAACCCTCTGCTCAAAGCAGGACCAACCCCAACTAAATCATCCCAGCCAGGGCTTTGTCAAGCCTGACCTTAAAAACCTCTAAGGACGGAGATTCCACCACCTCCCTAGGTAACGCATTCCAGTGCTTCACCACCCTCCTAGTGAAAAAGTTTTTCCTAATATTCAACCTAAACCTCCAACTGCAACTTGAGACCATTACTCCTTGTTCTGTCATCTGCTACCACTGAGAACAGTCTAGATCCATCCTCTTTGGAACCCCCCCTCAGGTAGTTGAAAGCAGCTATCAAATCCCCCCTCAGTCTTCTCTTCTGGAGGCTAAACAATCCCAGTTCGCTCAGCCTCTCCTCATAAGTCATGTGCTCCAGACCCCTAATCATTTTTGTTGCCCTCCGCTGGATTCTTTCCAATTTTTCCACATCCTTCTTGTAGTGTGGGGCCCAAAACTGGACACAGTATTCCAGATGAGGCCTCACCAATGTCGAATAGAGGGGAACGATCACATCCCTCAATCTGCTGGCAATGCCCCTACTTATACAGCCCAAAATGCCGTTAGCCTTCTTGGCAACAAGGGCACACTTATGACACACTGCTGACTTCCTCCGTAGGGAGCGCCAGCCTGACCCCAGGGCCAGCTGGAGGCTCATGGGCTATGGGGCGGAGGCTGCCCTCTGCCAGGGACGCTGGCGCACTCATGGCTGGGGTTGTAGGGGATACGGTGGTCAGGGCAGAGGGGGTACAAGAGTGTAGATGTGGGGGGGGAGATGGAGAGTGCAGGCGGCAGAGTAATGCGGGCACACTCAGCGTAGAAGCCATAGAGGCGGTTGATGCTGGCGCACTCA